GCTGCTGATTTCATTAATCAAATGATCTAAAGAAAACCAGTAAATAGATTGGGATTTGATGGACCTGATGAAGTATTTGCCCATCCATGGTTTAAAAATGTAGATTGGGATGGTTATTTAACACAATAAAAATAAGCTCCTTATAAAATTAATGTAAATAATTTATTAAGTATAATTTAGTCTAATTCTGATAATTTTGATTAGAAATTTGCCAATATTAAAGATCCTGAAGATGATGCTACAGCTAAATTAAATGCTGAACTTTTGAGAAGAGATTCCATATAAGAAGCTTTTAATGGATACACTTATAAATCTTAAAATTCGTAATAAACAATATAAGACTAAACAAATTCAAAGCCAACAACGTCAATGAGTTAACAAATTACTCCAACCAAAAATAAATTACTTGATTCTAATCGATAAATAGAATTGAAATCTTAAAAGAAATATCATTTAGTTTAAAGCCCTGTATTTAATAAAAAATTAAACTTTACTACTGATTAGCCACTCACATAAAGAGGGCAAACTAAAAAAAATTTTGATTTCTGATTAAATTTATATTGATATTAATATTATAAGATAGGTAAATACTAAATTTATAATATACATATTATTCATTCTAATGTTTTATCGTTTAATTTATGTAAAAAATCATATTCTACTTAAACTTTATTATTGCAAATTTCTTTTGTAAATTAATTGAGCATTTACTTAAACATTTTTCTTAATCTTCTGTTAATCTTTTCTCTGCTACTTTGATACATTTCTTGAAACAGATTTGATCCTATTTAAATACCTTTGTTAGTAGTTAAATCTATGCTTCTTTTTAAATAATCTATTCTCGTGATTCCATAAATAAAAATTAATTTAATTATTTTAATCAAATATAATGAGTAAAATAATAATCATATTAGAAAACATGCTTTCAGTTATATATTTAAATTGCATATTTTGATACCTTATAGTTTTAGATAAGAAATTCTCTTTAATTCTATCAATAATATTGTATTCTGTTATATTTTATCTTCTATTTTTCAATTCTTTTTTTTATCTTAATAATTGAATTGATTTTGACCAAATATTATTGAAGGTTTTTATATTATATTATCTTAATGATTTATTCATTAGAGAAACAAATAAAACAATATCTTATTGTTATTGTATAATTTTATTAAGTGTTTAATTTAATGAATAATTCTTTCTATAATTTGATTGGAAATTAAATTATTATTTTATTATTTAAGTGTAGAATCTGAAATACTTCTTAAGTTTTAAGTTTTTGATTTAATAAATATTGGATAATAAATATAATAATATAATTTTTGATAATAAGTATTAAGTTAATCATATGAAGGACTTTTAGTTCATAATAGATCTTTTAGCTTCATGAAATTTAGAATAAAAGTCTCTGTTATCATTAGTTTTAATAGATTTTTTCTAACTAGATCTTTCAATAAAACTTATAGAATTGTTATTCTCTTTTTCTTCTCTTAAAACTTAATTATTTCCAATCATCGAATCTCTAGTTTTTTCTTCAATGGCCTTTTAATAGATATATTGTTCTCTTTAAGTAGGATTAATAGATTCTATACCCCTTAAAGAAACTAATTAGAGTTTAACTCCTCTCATATCATTGATCATTTATTATATTGATCCAGAATCTAAACAAAATTTACCTTATATAGTTGGACTTATTTTCTCATATCTAACTTATTCAATTAAATTTTAAATCTTCTTTTTTTCTTTAACAACATAATTACAAGCCTCAACACATAATGAAACATTAGGATTGGTAGATCCAAAAAATTATACAAGTTATTCATTATATTAATTAACACGATCTGTTTATAGTTTAATTTTAGCCATTAAACCTTCAATTTCTATGAGTTTATCAGCAACCAATTCATCAGCAGCTTATAACATCTCTTATTCTTTTAGTTTTAATGTTTTATAAATGTCTTCAAAATTAGATGTAATCTACATTTTTGCTTATCCTACTAGGTCTACTAAGTCTTATTTTTTATTCACAATTTTGCATTATTCATGTAACAAATATTCACAACAACTTTATAAAGATACTTAGAGTTAATTTCCATTTTCTCTTATTAAATCAAAAGATTTTGATATATTTCTAACTTCATGATTTTTATGTAATCCCTATAAATAGCATTCCATACAAAAACATTATGCTTCACAAGTAAAACAATATAAAACACAACTTTCAGTAAGATGTTATTAACAAGTGATATTAGTAAATTATTATTATTATGATTAATTATGATAATCAGATTACTATATTTATTGAGATTATTTTGTTTCTAATATTTCACTTCTTTATTCAAAATCATCAGAACAACATGAAGTTTATGGATTCATCTCTAATAAAACTTATACAGCAGATGGATCCAACTAAGTTTTTGATGAACATATTTAACATATTAATGGAGGGTACATAGTATATTAGCCCCATTTTGATACAGCCTTTGCTGCACAATTCAAACACAAATTGTGATCACATTAAAGGGATAGAATTTAATCAACTTATGCTCCACATTTACAACATTCCAATAATTCACTTTCAGTATCAGACATTTAGCAGTTAATATAAAATTGCAGTTAATTTTATTAATTAATGAATTAATGTCTAAATAAGCTTTTAGAATCATTTAATCAAGTTTGTGAAATTACCTTCCAAAAAATGGTTGAATTACTTTATAGAAGTGGAATTATTAGACCTATTATTAGAAGACCTGTAATTCCAACTTTAGAACTATAACCTATTGATCATTCATTAAAATAGCCCTTAACATTACATTCAAGCTCATCAACTCCTGTTTTTACTAAAAGTGAATCTAAATATAGGAGAGCAGAATCTGAAAAGGAATTTAAAAAGTGCATTATACCAAAGTATGTTTTTATATTAGTAAAGTTTAGGTGACACTATTTACAAAGTGGAATGCTACTCCAAAGATATATCCTTACTTAATTTGTTTGATGAAAAATAAGAATTAAATCAAAATACAAATTAATTAGACAATAATAATATTAGAAATTAATTAGAACCAATTATATAAGAACATAAAGTAAATAATAATCTAGAAAATTTAGAATCTCAAAAAGAATAAAATAATAATAAAAACACTGTAAATCATTAAAATTAATAAAAAAAAGAAAATTCTCAAGATTAAATATCATAAGATTAATTTTATTCAATTATAGATAATCCAAATAAAATTACTTAATCTGAATAATTCTATAGTATTATAGACAGAAGTTCTTTTAGAAATAGTTTTAATAAGAATATGGCAAGAAAATGAAGTTATTATATCATAAAGTTATTATATAATCTATTAATTTGATCATAAATCTTATTCATAAAGTAAATATTTTTAGAGATAAATTCAGATTTTAATCAAGAGGACATCTATTTTTTTAGATTTCATTTTAGCTTTATATCTCATATTTAATTGAAGGTTTAAATTAAAATATTTCTATAAAATTAAGTTTTTTAATTAGTATGATTATAAATTAATAAATTATATGTAATATTCAATTCATAATAACAAGATAATCATTTCTCAAATAAAAGAATAATTCCCTTATAGTTTTGATAATTTTTTAAATTCATCTTAAATTACATTATCTATATATAATTCATATTTTAATTATCCAATATTGAATATAAGAATTTATTAAGAATAGGATAATGTATGAAAAATTTAATTAGGTTAATTCCTTAAATTATTATCTATAAATTATGTTTTAATAAGAGTTGCTACTATGATTGTGTTATGATTTTAATAGTATTTTTAATCAATGATTTAAATTAAATGTTACATCTTCAAAAAGAATTACCAAATTATAGAATAAATTTATTATGGTAAAGAAATAAATTATTATATTAAAAGTGCATATAAATGGATAAGACGGAGTAATAATATTCTCAGTTAACTGAATAAGGAGAAGAATCTAATATACTAATATGTACTCAAGACCCAATAACTTTGTATAATAAAGTAATATATTTAATGAATAACATAGTTTATTAAAGTATATAATTTAGATGATAATAAAGTAAATGGTATAACATTATAATACATGAAATAAAGTAAAGCTGTTCAATTCATTCATAATTATTTAAGGAATAATTTGGGAAGATTAGTCTTTTTTTTAATTCTGATTTTACTTCCTTTCATTAATCTATTATTTTATCTCTTTCTTTTAGTAGCTTGGCTTAAATTAAATTAAAATCATTAAATATTCAAATCAAATTTAAGTATGTATTTCAAAAATATTGATTAGGTTAGGTATTGGATCCCTTTGAAAATATGGTTGAAAATTCAGAACTCTGTGAAATGATGAAAAAAAATTATGTCGTTTTTGATATGGAGATTAAAGAAAATGAGGGTTTACACTTTTCGAAGAAAGTCAAAGAAATGATTAAAAATAGATCTAATGGAAACAATAAAATTAAATATACAATCTATAATTAAATATTAAAGGAATAATTTTATGGATTTCCAAATTCAAGAATAACATGTTTAAAATGGATTATAGTCTCCACTCTATTGATTGCAGTTCAATTAACATTAATAATAATATTTTCTTCTAAGATTTGAAAATTTATATGTTCAAAGATGAGTTCATTAGTAAATAAATAAATTATGTTTATCATTATTCTTTGTTCAAATCATATTATATATATATATTCTGTATATAGATAAAATAATTGTTATTTTAACAATTTATAATTTATAAACTGATATTACTATTAATATAAATAAATATCCTAATAGAGAATAGTAAAACAAATATTCTGATTTTTAAACCATATATAGGTGAAATTTTAATAAATATTTTACTTAAAATATGTCTAAATTCAAAACTAATTTTGAGTTCTATTTATTATACTATTTTTGAAAATAGATGTTAAATTTAAAGTTACTCATTTTTTAACAGATCTTTACAATAATGACTATTTATAATTGATAATTATTCTTATGTATTGTAAATAATCAAAATCATTTTTTGATGACCCGAAATCAGAATAAAAATTTTGGAAAAAACAAGTTTTATCCATTGATGAGAAAAAAATTGAATTCTAATGTTTACTTTAAAAAAAAAACTATAAAACAGGATTTTGGATGAGCAAAAATTATGTGATATATGAATCTCAACTAATAAAAATCAAGGTATTCAAGAAGTATTATAATAGCCATAATCAAAGCAATGTCACATTGTTAATCTCAATTTGTCTAGAATATAAAAGGTGAAATATGAGAACAAGCTGGAAAAAGAAATATTTAATAAAGTATATGATTTTAGTAATTCTTAGGAAAAATATGGGTTTAGAGTAATAAGAAATAATCAATATAGAGAATTCTATAGTAGATCGAAAGAACTTAATTTGTAATTATGGAATTAATTACGAAAAGAAGCATTTCTATCTTCATTTACAGAGTATTATGTACTGGAGAAAATTATAGGAAAAGGAAATTTTGCAAAAGTTTATTAAAGTTTGAACAAAGAAAATTAAAAATTATATGCAGTCAAAGTTTTTGAAAAAAATAAAATGAGAAGTTCAGAAACAGATAAATAAGCACTTTTAAAAGAAATAAGTATTATGCGTAAACTAAATTATAATGGAGTGATAAAATTACATGAAGTTTTTGAAGATGAAATAAATATTTATTTTGTATTAGATTATTTAGAAGGTGGAGAGCTTTATCATCATATTAAGAATAATGAAAAATTTCCTGAGAAATTAGTTGCAAAAATAATAGCAACAATTTTGAAAACATTAGATTATTTATAAAAATAGAATATTTTACATAGAGATCTAAAGCCAGAAAATATGATTTTGAGAAATAAAGGAATCTTAGATGATATTGTAATTACAGATTTTGGTTTAGCAGATTATTATTCAATTAAAGGAAATTATCTATTTTCCAGATGTGGAACTCCTGGATATGTAGCACCTGAAGTATTACATGATGAAACTTATGATTTTAAAATTGATATTTTTAGTGTTGGATGTTTAATGTATGTTCTATTGGCAGGTAGGTCACCTTTTAAAGGGTAGAAGTATGATGATATTGTAATGAAAAATTATCATTGTTAAGTTGATTATAAATCAATTGAAAATTAGATTTCTAGTGAAGGATAATCTTTATTGAAATAACTCTTAAATCCAAATCCATAATATCGACCTACTTCTCGTTTAGCCTTGAGACATTAATGGTTTTAATCAAATTTGAATTAAAATCGATTTAAAGAATTAAATTATTCTATATAAGATCCAAAAGATTTAACAATAAAATCTAGTTTAACTAATATACCTTTTTAAAATGTAAATGAAATAAATAAACCAATATTAGAATCAAGAAAAAATTAGCAAAATAAACAAGTAATTATTATTTTAATAAAATTAAAGGAAATAAAAAATTAGCCAACTGCATAATATGATGATACCAATTCTTTAAAGGAATTAAATGATAGTGAAAATGATATTGTTGATGATGAAGATGTATGTCCATAATCACATTTTTTACCATAATATCAAATAATTAGTAAGTTTAAATTAATATTGGATTCTCAAAAGTCTTTTCATCTTAATTCGCCAAATATATAAGTAAATTTAGTTTCATTATTAGAATAATACTGGAAATAATTCAATTTAGTTTGTAGAGGATAACTAAAGGAAAAATAGTTAAATAGAAAATTTGCAAATAAATTAATCTCTAATTTGAATAATAAGTCTTGAATCTCAATATATTATAATTATTTATTAATTAAAATATGAATAATATAAAAAGAAAAATATTTTTTATTAAAATTCAACTTTAATTAATTTAAATAAAATCCTTCTTTCCTTCCATTTTTCTCCATAATATTTCTTAAAGAAATTTGATAATAAAATATATCTAAGGTGTAGAAATTGTAACTAAGAGATTATCACGGAAGTCAGTCTTTACATCAAACTTTTTATTTTAGAAACATTTAAATGAAATAGTACTTATAAGTATTATTAATATAATAAATATTTTGACAGGGGAGAAGATGATGATCAAATTTATATTTGAGAAAATAGAGGATTTCAAATTTAATGAACTCCTCTATAATCTCAGATAAAGTAAAAAGGAACTTGTGATTGTTAATAATTTCTAAACTCCCTTATTTCCATTTATTCGAAGAAATGTTCAAAGTTCTGAAACAAGTACTCGAATCTTTTTTAATTTAAGTTTGGTTAATTATGAATGTTGAGTAAAAAAACAACTAAGACAATTCTAAATTTAAAGATTAAGTGTTAAGAAAAAGGAGAGAAGAAATAAATAATATATCTCAATATTCCCATATTGGAGAATCAGTTCCATAAATCAATAAAACAGAATGAGATGAAAAAACTTAGAAAATTAAATATTGAATTTTAAGAGAGAATATGTTGAAAAAGTCAAGTCCCAAAGATCTTGTTAATTAAATTAGTAAAATGAATTAGTTTACAATAGTAATAGTAGATAACATAATACCACATACTTGCATAGGTATAAATATGTTAATTTAAATTAGTTCCAAAAAGTTTCAAATTGATATTTTATTTAATTAAACAATATTTAACAAAATTGAGAATGCTTTATGATTTAAGTATACAATACAATTACTTAGTGGAATTGATGCCTTTTATAAGCTGAAACAGGTTTTAGAATCAGATACTCATGGGATCCTTAGCCAAAGAGAATTTCTTAATGGTCTAGTTCATCTAATCTCCTTTTTTACCCTATATATCAGATTTCATCAACTAAATATATACTATTGAACCTGATATAATTTGTATTTAAATTGGAATATCTAAAAAGGGTCATGTATAGAATTCTATTAAAAAAAATTACAGATTTATATTAAGATTGAATGTTATCCTGTGGCCATAGTAAATAGATATAAAAACTTGGAAAATTGTATTGTTTTATCTAATAAGTATATTTAAATCCTTAAAGCAATTTACAAAAGATTTGACCTATTGATTCTTATCCTATAAAGTGTGTATAATCAAAATTTATGAATACTGAAAGTCTTTAAGAAATCTTTTAAGAATTAAATATTTTTGTTGAAAAGCATAAGGATTATACTACTACATTTTATTGCTAAATGAATTGGAAACCACAAAAATACTTAAAAAATATTTAAGTTATCCAAATTTTTTTTTTATAAAAAAATCAGAAATGCATAATTTTTTTTAATTAGTATTTTAAAAAATTTAAACTGAAATTTAAGAGTAGATACAAAATATCATAAAAACTTGGTTTAATTCTAAATCCAAAAAATAAATATAATTCTTTTTTTTACAGAGAGACAAAGTGGATCTAATATTAAATATTTAAAATTCAAGTTGAAACACTTAACTCGCTCTTCAATAAGAATTCAATTTGTTAAAATAAAAAAGAAGACTAAATAAGATATCTACTTGAGTATACTTTAAAGAAAATAATTAATTTCAAAATATAATATAAACAGACATTTTTAATTATTTAATATTTTATTAGTATTTAACTGAATTCATCAAATAGTAAAACGGATAATTATTAATGTTTTGTAAATTTCTGTTCCCTAGATAAAATTTTTCATCCTTGTACCCAAAAAGAAACTTTCACATAGATTACCTCTAGGATATTTAAATCATTTCAAATGATTATTACTCTAGTCTAAAACATATTTATGAGTCATTTTCAACTCATAAAATAAAAATTTCAGATATTCAAACAATGAAGTTGAACCGTACTAATAAGTAAATTTAATATTCCTAATAGAGTGACCAAAAGCTAATTCTTAAATTAACATTCGAAAAACCAGACACATCAAGATTTAATAGATTGTTTTCAGATCTATAAAATGGACAAGAAATAGTATTAACTAATTAAAACTCTAAAATTCCAGTTGTTCCATGGTATCCAAGAAATTAAAATGATTTAAAATCACGTATTGAAATAATTATATTTAAGTTGGACTTCTAATGATAGTTGATGAAGAAAATAACTAAGACCATCCTCAATTTACAGATGAATAGTATAGAAAAAGAAGAGAAGAGATTGCCAAAATCTCTTAAGAACACATATTTGGATAAACTATTCCAAATATTGATTATACTGAATAAGAAGAAGCAACTTGGAAAAAGATATACTTAGTTTTAAGAGAAAAAGGAAAATCTCTGTTGTCATAAAGATATTTAAAAAACTTATAGAAAATTGAGAATGCTTTAGGATTTAAATATAAAATACCTTAGCTTAGTGAAATTGATGCCTATTTATAAGCTGAAACAGGTTTTAGAATCAAAGCTACTCATGGGATTCTTAGCCAAAGAGAATTTCTAAATGCTCTAGCTCATAGAGTCTTCTGTTGTACTCAATATATCAGACATCATAAATATCCAGAATATTCTCCTGAACCAGATTTAATTCATGAAGTTTTGGTATCATATTTATTCTAATAAAAAGGGTCATGTACCATTATTTGCAGATAAAGAAATTGCAGATTTATCTTAAGAAATTGGTATCATATCCTGTGGAGCAGAATAAAAAGATATAAAAAGACTTGGAACTTTATATTGGTCTACACTAGAGTTTGGGGCTTGTAAAGAAAATGGTTAAATTAAAGGTTATGGAGCAGGAATTGCAAGTTCAACTGGAGAATTAGATGTAATTTTTATAAATTATTTTTAGAATTTTCCTATTGCAAATTATGAAAAATTTGATCCATTTCTTCATGCAGACAGACAATATCCTACTTAAATAGTATAGCCCACATATTTATATTCTGAAGACTTTGATGAGGTGATTCAAGAATTAATTATGTTTGGTAAAAGTCTTTAAAAGCCATTTGGATTATATTACGATTTTGTTGAGAAAGAATTGAAGGCTACAAAAATAATTAAAACTCATTTATAAAATCCATGATAAAAAACTTATCAAATATATTAAATTCAATCATTTCTTATATTTTTTAGATTTCTTTTAAATAATTCCAAATTTCTACTTTTATTTAATTATATTCCACAAATTGAAATAATAATATATTTAAGATGTTAAATTTAGTTAATTACAAATCTAAAATAATATATAAAGTTCTAATCTTGAAAATTTATTAATTGTGATGGTTCTATTACTTTCTTATATTAATCATAAAAGGAATAATAATAATTGATTATTATTTGATAAAAGATCCCATTTCAATTCTTCTTCAGAAAGTGGAAGAATTACTTAAAGGAAATTAAGCTAAGACATATTATATGTAAATATATTGTAATTTCTTTTTTCTTAATAGTTGCAAATATTAATTACTTTTTATTAAGTTGAAAAAAGATTCAATTCAAAAATTAAATGAATATAAAAAAAATTTTCCAATTTTTGTTCACATCAAATTGAAATGATAATATTACAACTTTTTTTATTTTTAGTAAATTTTTTGTTAATAATTTAATAATAAATTATATTATATAAAGATAATGATGAACGATTCTCTAAATAAATTGGAAATGGAGTAAACAGCCTAGTTTTTTAATCCAAGCAAAAAAATACTGAAATAGAGAACTATTAAAAAATTGCAACCAATTGTGGATGAATAAATAGTGAATGAATTTTCCATTCCTACATTTAGTAGGAAATTAAGTTAGCAAGAGATATTCGACTTCGATTAAATAGTTTAGCAACAGCTTCTAAAATATAACAGTCAACCGAATATTTTGTAAATAAATCAAAATTTTAACAATCTCTATCTCTTAAAGTCTTCATAAAAATCAAATAACATTCAAACACCTTTAAAATCTCTTCTAGGAGTTTAATAAAGATTAATATTTCCAAAAAATTAATCAAATCAAATCATAATTAACGAATAAAGTAAATAATCTACTCCTGAAAAATGTAGAAGAAATATAAGAGTTTTACTTAATCCTTTTAATTTCGAGAGGAAATCGTCAGATATATAATAAAATAAAAGCTCTTCTCAAAGTTTAAGACCCTCATAATCATAAGGAAGAACTTTCCTATAAAGAAAAGCATAAATTGGTGTCTTAAATAGAATATTCTCTTCTAGATCTTAGGATAAGATTTGAGTAATTATGTTTATTTATAATTTTATCATACTTTATAAATATATTGGAAAAATTCATATTATTAATATCAACTTCAAATAACAAACAAAATTTTATCTTCACTGAATGTAGTTTAAGAATATTAAAATTTATCATTATTTTTTTCCATCAATCAATAGAAAAATAAAAAGTTTTATTGAAGTATTTATTATATATTAATTATTAAGTAATAAAAGAGTTTATAAAACTTAATTGATTGGATTAATCAAAATGAAATAATTATGATTCTTGATTATAGAGATTGCAAGATTCTGATTACTAAAAGGAAAAGAATGCACAATTTTGAAATAAGTAAATATTTCTATTATATTTATCCTAAAATATCAAATAATTAAAATAAATTGAATTAAGAGGATATTGATCATATAATAATTAAATATTTATTATATTCATAAGGATTATAAAAAAAATTAGAAAAATGTTTGTTTATTAATATACTTGAATATATTGCAAGTTTATCAAAGAACTGAACCAGCAGCTGATGCAATCTTTGGCCATAAATCGGCAGCTTCTTTTCCAACTGGACCTGTAATGGCAGATCCTTTCATTTCACCCTTTGGATTGATGATAACTCCAGCATTGTCTATAAAATATAACTAATTAAAACCTTCGAAATAAATATAATATCCTTCTCGGCGTCTGTATGGCTTTCTTTATCTGACGACAACTGCTTACATGACTATGATAGTGTATTTAAATTACCCTTCTTTCTGAGTGCTGGCTTACCCTATTTGACTGAGCATAAGACCATATCACCAATGGAGGCAGAGGGTAATCTGCTCAAATGTCCCTTAATTCCAAAAGTAGAAATGACATAGATATTCTTGGCTCCTGAATTATCAGCACAGTTGAGTACTGCACCAACGTTGCAAGCAAGTGTGATTCTTAATTTAATACCGACTTGTCCTCCTCTTCCTCTCTTTGACATTCGTAAATTTAATTAATTTAAAAAATAGATTTGTGAATATTTTAAGTGTTAATAAAGTAATCACCATGGTCTTTTAATTTTATTGAATATCTAGCTTGATTCTGTTAAGAAATTAAGTTAAGAGAAATTTAGAGCATCAAAATCATCAAATGTGGTGAATTTCATAGATTGTACTACATTAGAATCTAATAGTTTTTACATTTAAGCAATTCTCTAAAAGAATCAATATCATTATCAGAATCTTTATAGCTAGATCTATCTGGATTACTTTGTTTCCTCTTTTACTAATATTACTCAATTATGGCATCTTTTGGAACAGATATGGATT